CACTCCTATATATATATATATATATATTATTTTTTCTTGTTCTAATAAATCTAAATTGGTTACAAGGTCTTGAAGATCTACAGTTGATTATAGAGATCATGATATCAATTTTAGCTTTCACTTTTCCCTTATCTTGATGCGTGTTATAAAAAAATTATAGAGTTGAAATTTAAGCATTTTTTGTGTTATATAACCGATGAACAATCTCAACTAAACAGAACAAAATAGAGCAAGTCAATTAAAGAGAATGGAGAAAAAAATAGAGCAAGTCAATGACACTATCATTTATATATAGAAATTTCACCAAATAGGGGAATAGAATGGAAACTGTAGTACAATATTATATATGAGCAGTAGTGCAGTATTATTAGCAAGAGAAAAATGGAGAAGACATGAGCATAGAAAAACAAAAAGATGAAAACTCACTTGGGAATTCTTGAAGCTCTTGAAAAGTCACTTCAAACAATCTTTCAAAATCTGATGGGTTTGAATGAGATTATTTTATGAATTTAGTATTTATAGATACCACTAAAAAGTACTTCAAAATTCCTCTAATACAAAAATCCTTTAAAATTCTTATATTTTTGAATACCAATATATTGTTTTTAGGTTGTAAAAAGTCTCAAATGAATACCAATGAATTTTAATGGACTCTTTAAAAAATCTTGAAAATCCATATTGAATACCACTGAATTATTTTTAAGTGACATAAAATCCTTATCGAATACTAACGGACTTTTTTACTTAAAAAAGTCTTTTAAAATTCTATGAAATCTTAAACTAATACAACCCTTATAGTTAAAATTATTTAAATACATAATTCAACAAAAGAAGTGAACAAATAAAAAGACTACATTATAATTAAGAAAGACAAAAATATATTATTTCATTTCATTTAAATAAATAAATAAAAAGTATTAGCAAATACTATTAAACTATAAAAATAAAATAGACTCTAATAATATTATTAAAATTGGCAAGGTCAAGAAATAATAAGATGCAAAGTCTTTTAAAATTCGCAGGATTTTTTTTAACTAAAAAAGTCTTTTAAAATCCTAATTTAATACACCCCCTTAGAGCAATTCCAATGGGAGTTGTTTGTCCCATGAAGCAACTCAAGCCCCCGTTTCTTGTCATTGGAGGACTCTGACGTGGCAACATGAGTTGCTTGAAGAAGAGAGAGAGTTGTTTCCTCAAGCAACTGTTTCTTACTAGATTTCAACCAGATCTTATTAAACATATTTGGGAATATTTCGAAAATAATAATGATGAAAAATAATTTCGTATAATGTCTATCTATTTACTATTACTTTATTTTATTTTTAATATCTACTTATTGTGTATTTTTTTTCTCGTAATTTATTTTCTTTCATTGTAGTGCAATTATCTTTTTTAATAAGAATTTAAAATTGGTTCATAAATGATTAGAAAAAAAATTTTAAAAGTTGAATTTCTTAAAGTTTCTTACCATTGGAATAAATTTGTGTTTGAGTTGTTTAATACTTACATGACACACTAAGGACCACTTTTTTCATTTTTCAATGCATGAAGCAACTCAAAAACGAGTTGCTTCCATTGGAAATGCCCTTAGATTCTCACCTCCCCAAAAAAATTTTTTTGTGGAAAAGTGGAATAAAAATAGCTTCCGGGAAATTATTTTCTTGGAAATCCTTTTTTTCAACAATTATCAAGCATGGGAAACCAAGATTCCCAATTTAATTTTCCCAAAAAAGTAAAAAATGTTTCACATTCCAAACACCCGTTTAGAGTAAGTGTATCCTTCCTATATATAAGACCAACCTTGAGTTTTTTGTGCATGAGCGAAGTGAAAGAATGATGCTATATAATTATTTGAATTTGAATACTATTTATGATCTTATTTTCAAACCTAAAAGTATAAAGTACACTAACAATAAAACATGCAATTGCTAAAATAAACCACTAAACTTAAATTCGTATGAGATTGTGAGTTATCATTAAAAATTACTAAATACTGAAAAATTGGATTGATAACGGTGATATATCACAAATAAGCTTATAGTAAAGAGGTGAAAGTCAACAATTTGATTTTGAGATTTTAGCAGATGAAAAACAATTTGAAAATTAGAAAGAGAATTAAAGAAATTAGAAACAAAAGAGGAAAAAAGTTAAAGACAATCCTTATTTATGATTTCAAATTAACAATTAGGAAATTCACGACAAAAGAAAAAAAGGAAAAGAAATAATTTAGTGATATATCATATTTTTCTCGTTACATTTAATATTACTGATTTTTTTCCGTAAAATTATGGGTAGTTTTTTGTTGACTAGTAGGAAAATTAATTATATATTATTAATTGTTCACAGTTATTTTATTTTCACTAATACATTTTATATAATTTAATTAAATAAATTTTAATTTTTATATTATATAGAATATTAAATAGCATTTTTATGGTGTCCCTTAAAAAATGGGGCCTTGGACCCACCAACTCGTACTTAAGTCATCAATGCCTATATATATATATATATATATATGAGTTAGGGTCCGTTGACACTGAGTGTAAGTCTAACCACTTATACCAAACTATCTTATGTCTTTAATAACTTTTTATATAATGTAAATTTAACTAATTCATTCGTTGAATCATGTGATATTATATTCAAGATTATGTATATCAAATTTCACATGAATATAACTTTTTTAGATATGTTTTTCAAAAATGAATATTTACACATATTTTAAATATCTTATTATATATTAAAATAAAAAAAATGTGATAAACTACTAAATAATTTTGGAATCATGTGAAATTTTATATAAATAATTTTGAGTATAATATTATATAATTCAAAGGTTAAATCGATTAAATTTGTATTAAAAGGTTATTGAATATATAAGATTTGGTGTAAGTGTTTAGACTTACACTTAGTGTCAACAAATCCTAACTATGTATATAATTACTTTAAGAATAAGTCTCAGTAGACTTATTACACTCAATAACTCATGTTTTACATCAAATTTTAATGATTCAACCGTTGAAATAAATTTATTAATGCATGGATCAAATTTACAAATTAAAAAAAAAGTTGAAAATCATAGATACTGTAGATTTAAATCAATTCATAAAATGTTTTTATAATTATCTGTCATTTTAGATTAATAAAATAGAGTATTAAATAACTTTAAAGTTTTCAAAAAATTTGTAGACTTGATTTATTCATTAAGAACTTTTAATTAACAATTAAATTTTAAAATTTGATGTAGAATATAAATTATTGAGTGAAGTAAATTTATTCTTTAAATAAGTAAATCTCTCCTCACACAAACACACACACACACACACACAATATATATATATTAAAAAAGTAATTTACCTAACAACCATTTCATAAAAGTAAAAATAAATTATAAAATTTTTAAGTTAAATATTTAAAAGTGGATTAAAAAGTGAAGTTAGGTTCTTTCAAAATTTTAAAAAAAAAATTAATAAAGAAAATTCTTAAATTTTATATGAAATTGGGAGATATACGAAAATTGTTTCTAGATCTGAAATGTATTCTGCCAATAGAGATGCTCTAATGCTCAAAAAGGAGACATGTATCATCATATGTATAAAAATTTAATATTATTAATTTAAATTAGACAAAAATGATAATATTCCATTATTTGAAAAATAAAAAACCAGATAAAAAAAGTTTAATTAGAGCTCTCTCTCTCTCTATATATATATATATATATATATATATATTTTTTTTTTTTTTTTTGAAAGAGTAAGTCAACAACCATTTCTTCGAACATTTCTTAAAACCAAAAATAAATTGTAAAATCGTTGAATAAAATATTTAAAAAAGAATTTTAACTCAAGTCATACTCTTTCAGGCACAATTATTAATTTCTCATTAAAGATATTTGTGGTCAAATCAAATCAACAATATATAGTCAACAAGTGTTGAATTAAATCATTAAATATGCCATTTAATACATTCATTAATTAATATGTTATATAACATTTATTTCTTAATTAATAATATTACAATAAATTTTTCATTGAAATAATTAATGTATTTACTATAGTAAAAAAAATAACTAATTTCATTATAATGCATGTCATTTAATTAATAAAATATACAATAAGAGAAAAAAAATTATAACGTATATTTTGTTTGTGAAGTGTGACTGTTGTTCCAGGGTACGTAGCATATGACTGGAGTGTAAGAATCCAAAAAAGGTCAAAGTATAACAAGAAGAAAAATATAAATAAAAAAATTCGAAGCATTAAATTGTTTTCCTTCTGTTGGATTATTTATTTGAGAGCTAGTTCAGACAGAGGGAAGCCAAAATCCACAACCAGCTGTAGTGAATGAGATTCATTGGAGGCAACACGTATCCATTTTGTGTCGCTTTTTCACAAATGGAGATGCAGAAAAGAACCGTGGCGAGATGGAACGGAATAGAGTCTACTCATACGAGTTCACGATCCGTGACAGAAACGGTGAACGGGTCACATGATTTCTTAATAAAGGGCTTCTCGTTGACGAAAGGAATGGGCGTAGGGGTGCCCTTAAAGAGTGAGAGTTTCAGCGTGGGAGGGTACGAGTGGGGCATATACTTTTACCCTGATGGCTCCAAGTTAGAGGACAACAAATATGTCTCCATCTTTGTAGCGCTCCTTTCGGACGCCACCAACGTTCGTGCCCTCTTTGAACTCGCCATGCTCGACCAGAGTGGTGAAGATGACCACAAGATCAACAGCCACTTCGACCGCACCCCCGACGCTGGCCCTCACACCCTCAAATTCAAGGGCAGCATGTGGTTAGTAAAAATCTTCTTAACTATATATCGTATTAATTTAGATCCCTTTGGACCTAAATTAGAGCCTGTTTGAATACTAGTTATTATATCGTGCTGAATTTGATCTCTTTAAATAAGATTATAGATCCCTTCTGATCTAAATTAGAGTTTGTTTGAATACTAGTTATTATATCGTATTTAAATAAGATTTTAGATTCTAGACTTCTGATGTAAATTAGAGTCTCTTTGAATACTAGTTAGAAGTGTTTTTGAGAGTTTCATACTGAGTTAAGAAGCTCTCGTGAACTCTTCTAAACTTATATCTAACTAGAATGTTGCGTGTGTTTTGTGGATATATTAATGATGTAGTGTTTGTGAGTTTGTGTGTCTGCAGGGGGTTTCGGCGGTATTTCAAACGGAGAGTGCTGGAGACGTCGAGGTTTCTGAAGGATGACTGTTTGAAAATACACTGCGTGGTTGGGGTTTTGGTGTCATCGTCGATGGATTGTTCTAACTTGAACCCAATAGAAGTTCCTGAGTCTGATATGGGGGCACATTTTGGGATGCTGCTTGACGATGAGGAGCTATCGGATGTTACTTTCGTAGTTGATGGAGAAAAGTTTTATGCACATAAGCTTATTCTGACTACACGCTCAACAACGTTTGAAACTCGGTTTCTTGAAGGGAAAGGGTTAGATAAAAGTGAAATAGTTATTACAGACGTGGAACCTAGGGTTTTCAAGGTAACACATTCGTTTAAAATGACATTTTTTCCTTGCAACTTGAATACGAATGTGCAGGTAAATCCAGTTTCAGTGTGGCCAATCAGAGCCAGCCGGGACATAATCCTGTTATTTCTATTGTTAACTTTTTTAATGTACGTATTACAATCATTAAAAGGGTAAAATATGCTTTATCCTAAAATTTAAATTAATTTGGTTTTAGTTTTTTATTTTATTTTAATGTTTTAATTTGAAGATATATACACAATCTCAAAATTATAGATATAATATTTTATAATAAATGATAATTTAGAAGTAAATTTTATAAAAATTATAGTACATTTTTAAAAAAAATATGTAAACATCATGTTATTTGTTTAATGCAATAAAACATGTGATCTTTAATTAAATGATGTGTTTATTTATATATTATTAATGCTTATACTTAAAAATGTTTATATATGAAGATTGATGTTTATTATTTTGCTTTTTAAAATGTTGCAGCGTATTGTTTGTTTGGTTATCTAATGTTCTTGTGTTGTATTGTTGAACAGACTATGCTTCAATTTATTTATATTGACAATTTTTTACCGGATGAAGAGCTCCTTAGGCATTGTTCGGCATCTTTGGAGTCTGTATTTGAATCATTTGTTTCGAAGTTGTTAATTGCTGCAGAAAAGTATGGTTTGCCAAGACTCAAGAGTCTTTGCGAATATTTGTTGTGTCAAGACATATGTGTAGAGACTGTTGCCTATCTACTTGCTTTTGCTGATTGTCATGATGCTATAGTGTTGAAGTCCAAATGTCTTGAGTTTTCTGCTGATTACCTTGATGGTGTGTTTTCTTGCTTAACCCTCCCACCCAACTCTACATTTGAATTTAAACTTGATACTTTTTAGCCTCTAACTAATGTATTGTCATCATTTTGGTTTTTTAGCATTATCCTACATCTTGTCTTATTTTCGTTACTACAATGCAGATGTGTTGCAATCTGAAGGTTGCAAGTATCTTAAGAAAAATTGTCCATTGCTGCTATCAGAACTGGAAATGATGGAATGCGTGCAGAATGTGGCTGAATGCAAGGGCAAATTAACAAATGATGTGCCGGTAGGTGAAGAAGAAGCTAGGGTAGAAGAACAAAATCAAAATGTCTCACTTATTATTGTTGACGACAACAATTAGGATGAAGTGTGACATATATATACAAAAATTTATCTATTACATAACATTTGAGTTTGGTTTTTACAATTTTTATGACTTTTTTACTTAATTAGCTTGTATGATTACCCGGATATTAATAGAAAACAAAAAAGTTTTATTCTAAAATCACATCTTTATCTGCTGACAACCTATTTCTCTCATGGAGTCATCATGGACCCTATTCATAAAATTGGTAACGCAAACCCTTCCCCCTCTCTTTTCCTTTTCTTTTCATGTATATATCAAAATACATGAAAAAGTAAAAATGGAACCGTGCATTCTTATCTGTTCTATCCCTTCCTGTAAGACTCATGTTCTTTATCTTACTTTTTTAGTTTTAGACTTTTTTTTTTTTTTTTTTTTAGTAGTAGAAGTTTTGAATCTTTTAAGTTTTTACCATTCTTTTTTAATGGAAGGATGTTGCCAACTCAGATAGTCGTGAAAGTGGAAAGTGGGAGACCATAGAAGTGTGCCGCGGAGGAGGTGATTGTAGCATGAGGATGAAGTGTGATGTATATAAAAATAAATTATACATATAATAATCTTTACTCATATATGAAGGGGTACATATATATTGTAGTATGTTTTGTGTTCAATATTTCTTTCAGACATTTTTACTTTCAAATTATTATTATCATGTTAAATGAAAACTTGCATAATTCACTACTCACTTTTTTATTTTCATTTTTACTTTTTTTTTTTTAAATTAAAAAACCAACTGCTATATCCCTCTTTAACTTTCCTCATTTATTCATATAAGAAAAGACAAATAATTTTTTTTCCCTTTCTTTGTAGTTTGTATCGTGATTGTATATTTTTATTTTTATTTTATTTTATTTTAAAATAAATATATAAAAAAAACACAACGTGCCTCTTCTAGTATACTTTATATAATATCAATTTATGTGTTGTTAATCTTTCTTTAAAAAAAAATTTCTTTACATTATTTATTTTATTTTTCTCTCTCTTAATTTTATGATTTTTTTTTACAAGTATCATTTTTCATAATGTATTAACAAGTTTTACATGATGTCAAGAGTTCAAGGAAGACACATATTTCAAAATCTTAAATGATGTATACACTACACAATAGCATTTCAAATTAAACATATATTTAGGAATTACACAAAAGTTTCACAAATTATAACTTTTCTCTGTGTTTATCCTTTGTATACATTTAAATGAAAGATTTTAATGGTAAATTATGAAGGGTAATATCTTTAAAGTCTAAAATTTCAAAGGAATATCTACAATGAAGATTTATACGATTAAGTCACGCATTCATATGATAAAAAAGTCATGCATTCTGTCAGATTTAGTTTTAACTATTAACTGACTAATTAGGGTTGACACTTTCTTTGCATTTAATTTTTCTTTGGACAACTCCTATTACATTGATTTTTTTTTCTCAAATCCCACATTAATTAATTGCATTTGTAATCAGCAAATGCAAATGTCTATTTATTTAATATATTTACAAATATGATACTTTTCTGTAATCAAATTTAGTACGTCAAAATAACATTTCAATTTTTTTAGATATGAGATAAATTTCTTTAATTTGAACAAAAACATGTTTATTTATTTAATATGTTTACAACGTTGGTGACATCATTTAATTTGACAATATTGGCAATGATGATTTTAGTAATAATCATAATGGTAATGATATAGTGATGAAGATGCCACTAAAATTACCATTGTCATTACCAATTCACCAGTATTGTTGTTATCAATAACAATGGTAATTATGAAAACGATAATAATAGAGATGATGACAATGTTGATAGTAATTAGAAATGAAAGAAATGAATCCTAGTCTTTAAATTATATATAAAAATTAAGATTAAAATTCAATTATATATATATATATATTAAATATATGTATAATTAAACGAATTCTTTGATATAAAAACAACAATTCTTTGATATAAAAAAGGCTAACATGACTAAAGAAATGAAATGGGGAGAGTAATTTTAAGGTTTTATGTAATCTTTACCTTTGAATCGACCTTGACCTTTGCCATGTTTTGTCGAAGCAGCGAGGTGGATTTTGTAGGAAAAAAGAGTTTCATCAATGCCATCTATATTGGAGTCTAGGGTTTTGGCCATGGTGGCACAAATGATGGCTCCTTTTAAGTCTCCCCGTTTAAATTTTTCCTCTGCATTCTTTTGTGCAAACATTGCTAGTGAATCTACCAACTGCACTGACATGGCTTATAGGTCACAATATGAAACAAGAACTAATTCTTTCTCCAAGTGAAACAGAAGAAAAGAAAGAAATGCAAAACGATTCCTTAAGGACAAAGAAAAGTGGTGTTCAAAGTGTTGTAACGATATAACCTGAATTCCAAATTAATGCTGAGTTCTTATATAGTGGGACATTGTGGCGCGTTATTAACTTAAACGAATATTCGATTTTCAAATCATATAACTACTTTATTTTTACTAGTGAATTTCATCTTATCTTTTTTTTGTAGTAACTGTATGTGCTATATTTTTTTTTTATTGATTCGTAACTGTATGAGCTATCTTGTTCAGATATATTGAGAATATTTTTTTTTATTGATCCGTAACTGTATGAGCTATCTTGTTTAGATATTGAGAATTTCTCTTTATATATATATATATATATATATATTTTTTTTTATATTT